CCGCTCTATTATTCTAAGAGTGACAGAATAAAAATACGCTGAATTACGGTGGCCCGCAGGCTCCAATCACAGCGACCGCGTCGAGTAAAGATCACGATCTCAACTATTACAAACATCGCGAGCGGGACAGATCCCTGATTTCCAGCCTCGGCCCAGTGTTTTCCTATCATATCAGGTTACTAGGAACAGCTAACCAAAATAACATATTTCATACGCACTAACATTGACCTTGGACATGAAGTAGATTTAGCTCTGCATCTCGAGTGTGTGTGTGTGTGTGTGTGTGTGTGTGTGTGTGTGTGTGTGGAGTCTTGAAGCGATGACAGGCTGAGGAGTGAGTCTGAGAGCAACAGCATGAACACACAAACTATCAAGAGCCACAATTGTTGAATCTGGACACACGAGGAACTGTACTTTACTGTATAATATGAGCATCAGGGTCAGGAATATGGTAATCATTTACAGTAGTGCTTTTGTTCCACAATAACTGAGTATTTCAGCGCTAAAGCAAAACAAAACACCCACGGTCCATCATGACCAGCCGTGAATGTGCTGTGGAGATATTTATATGAATAACCCTTATTACATTAAACTTAAGCAATAAGTAATAATAAAATCACTTAAAAGCAGATTATTTGTAATGAGAAGAAAAACCTCCTGAACTCATAATATACAGTATCGAATCACAGTTTATATTTCCAAATAATTATAAATAGCTATTTAAAACATTTATACTGTCTTTCAAAAGTTTTTTAAATGCATTTTATGATGCATTTATTAGATCAAAAATACAGTAGAAATTGTGAAATATTATTCCAGTGTAAATCATCTGTTTTCTATGTGAATATATAGTAAAGTGTAATTTATTCCTGTGATCAAAGCTGTATTTTCAGCATCATTACTCCAGTCTTCAGTGTCACATGATCCTTCAGAAATCACTCTAATATGAGGATCTGATGCTTAGTCTTGTTTTCTAAAATAATGATCAAAATCTAGTGAGTTTAAGCTTAAAACTAGAACAAATATGTACCAATGGGAATAAACTTAAAAAAAAAAAAAATCTTAATTTAAAATGAAAACAAGGCAGATTTGTCCTTGTTTTAACTCATTGTCATTTTGCTTCCCCTGCAAATCTTGATTTCAAAGTCCCTTAAAACTCATCTTTGATCACCAAAATTACATATTTAAATGTTTTTTCCTTGAAAAAAAAAATCTTCATGCCTTAAAATATCTTGAATGTAACTCGACACCCTCGCCTCATTTAGTACACACGGTTCTATGAATATGCAAATGAGCCCCGCCTCCACTCAGAGATCCACTGGTTGACGATCACACGTTGATCTGATTGGTTACAAGGTCGTTTGTGACGTCAGAAACACCAGCGATTTCAAACCGTGTTTTTGAGACTGTCTTTGGTTCACTGCAGTTTTAAGGAGGAAATACTCAGCAATGCTGTCGACTTATGAACTTACACATGGTGTGTCTTAAAGCAGATTAAAAACACCATATAAACAACATTAAACACTGGAGTTTCACCACAGGGGGACTTTAATAATGTTCAGATATAAAGACCTCTCAACACGTCCTCAACTCTATGTGGATTCGACACGTTCAGCCGCTTCAGAGATTGGAAGCTGTTTTATGATTTTTATGATTTTTAGGAAAGCGAGCGTCTTATGACACTTTAAATAACGCACCGCTAGCGTTCGCTTGGCAGACGCTCTGATTTCCTTTCTTAACATGTTTAGACAGTTGACTCTCTAAACTCGCTCAGACACATTCTTGCGTTTACAGACAGATTCATTACTAGCGTCTATGAGACGGAGCGTATCAGTGTGTGTGTGTGTGTGTGTGTGTGTCACGGGAATTAACATGCATTTACTGCTCTATCTGATGCACTTTTCCATCACGGAGAACAAACGCCTGCGTCTGAGAGAGAGTCGAAGAAACCCAGAGGCTCTTCATTCACTCACAAACAAGTTCTGTTTCAGATAAATGCTGTTCTTTTGAACTTTCTATTCATCAAAGAATCCTGGAAAATAAAATGTATCAGTATGTTTTTTAAAACAATGTTATTAAATGTTTCTTGAGCATCAGATCCTCATATTAGAGTGATTTCTGAAGGATCATGTGACACTGAAGACTGGAGTAATGATGCTGAAAATACAGCTTTGATCACAGGAATAAATTACACTTTACTGTATATTCACATAGAAAACAGCTGATTTACACTGGAATAATATTTCACAATTTTTACTGTATTTTTGATCAAATAAAAGCAGCCCTGGTGAACAGAAGAAACACTTTAAAAATTGTGAATGTGCACTAAATTGTTATTTCCTAAAACTATGGCTCATATTCGACACAACATGAAGGTGAGTATATAAATGATGACATCATTTGAAGTTTACACACAGATTTCATCAACGGTCATAAGGAAACCTGCAGTGAAAGATTTTCATCACACACTGATATAAATGACTTCTCATATCTGAAGATGACCATATCGATTTCTTAATCCCAAATCCATGTGACGCTCCAGATCAGCGCGAGTGTGTGTCAGCGTGAAGAGAGTCGAGACACACAGACATCATGACATCATGGGGATGTTTCGATCACAAGAACGGATGTGAAGCGTTCATGATGTGCAGCGAGATATCGGATGTACAACTGATGCAATATTGCACAAAAACCCACAAAACCAAATATAGTTCACCTAAAAAATAAACCTTCTTCACCTAACCCTGCATCAAACCTTTATGACTTATGTTTCCACAGATACAGACAAAACACGTTTAACAAAAGGTTATTTTCTATACAATGAAAGTGAATGAGAACAGAAGCTGGTACACTCTAAACAATGCTGGGTTGTTTCAATCCAAATATGGACAAACCCAAATGTTGGGTTAAAATTGTATTTAAAAAATGTACAGTTGAAAGTGAAAGTTGAAGTTGGGTTAAAATTTGAAATTACATTTTTAACCCAACATTTGGGTTTGTCCATATTTGACCCAATTTTGGGTTAAAACAACCCAGCGTTGTTTAGAGTGTATAAGCTCCAAAAAAGACATTCATAAATTACTTCTTCTTTTTTTCAATGTCAAGGTGACAAAGATTAATTTAATTCAATATAACAAATAGGCTACTTTAATTTTCCATTCAAATATACACTACCGGTCAAAATGTTTTTTAAAGACGTCTCTTCTGCTCATCAAGGCTGCATTTATTTGATCAAACGCTGTGAAGATTATCAGCAAATAACTCAAATGTCAGAAGACTTATATGCGATATATGGATTCATATTATGATAACCTTTTGATAATTCTTACTTTTCTGAGGCTTAACAGTAAAAATTCAGACATTCTGCTAAACATCTCCTTTTGTATTCAACAGAAGAAATAATAAAGAACATGAGAATTAACATGTTGAATTATCAGGTCCTTTAAGACATAAAGATAAGATGCAAAAATCACAATTCAATTTAGAAATAAAGATGAACCAACAACCATAAGGACTTAAAAATGAGAAGTGCTTTAAATCGGTTCATAAAAAAGAGGCTTTTAATGAATAAAACTAAATTAATTAAACATGAGTCTCTCGCCCAAGATGTTTAATGGAGAAATGATGCCAGAATGATGATAAGGGTTGAGCTGAACTACTGTAAATATCAGAAACCCAGGAGAAGAGAGTTTATTCATCCTCAGCTCAGAAACTAGACCGAGACGAGGAAAACAAACCAGGACCAAAACAAGCCTCGGATCAGAACCATCGGATGAACTCAGTCAGGAGTCTGGAGAGAACCACAGCTGGATCCGGGAATAACGAATCCAGTCATTTTCTCCATAGGAAAATGTTTTTTCAACTTATTTCTAAAATAATCATGTTTACCAGTGGAATTTGCAGTGAAAAACTACATTACCCATAATGCTATAGAGAAAATTCCACCAATCAGAGAGTCACAACGGCTTGTTAGCTCCGCCCACTCCAATGAAGACCGGAATCCAGTCGATCTCCCATCTCAATATACTTCAATATTTGGGTGTGTGTACGTATATATATATATATATATATATATAGTGTTTGGTAAGTTACACTAAAAAGTAATTAATTTCTATCTTGTAACTAGATTACTGTACTAGATTACTCTCTCTAAAAAGTATTGCATGATTTATTCCTAATTACTTTCTAAATCCCATATCAACCTCGACCAGCTGAACAATATATAGACATTATAATTCTTTCAAATAAATTATATAAAGTTGCATATATTATTCTTGAACTGACCAAAGGATTTAAAGGGAGAAAGTTACATTAACAACATACATTTTATCATTAGATGTTAAATTCATTATTGATTTACAATCCCGTACTTTACTTTTTCAAGGAAAAAGTAATTCAAGTTTTAAAGATTGATTACTAATACATTAAACCCAACACTACACTGCAATAACCTTGAAATGAATCATTGTATGGTTCTCTATTTAAATTCGATTTTGTTGCCGCAATGCTTCATGGGAAAAAAGGTTATTTCCCTCAATGAAGTTCACATTCTTCTATCTTTGTCATTTTGTCTGATTTTCAAATACTTTCTTGCTTCAAATCAAAGTTTGTAATGTTGTGATTCTCCTCGTTCAAGGCTTTAATGAAGACTTTAAAAAGAATTATGGGACAAGTATTCATTTTGCTTTTGGATTATTACAGGGAAAAAGCTCTGTGAACAACAAAAGTTTACGATTCTTGCGCGATTTGTTCATGATAATCCTCACAAATTATCACAACTTTCATGAATTTTGAAGCCTAAATACAATGAAGTCGCCCCTTTATTCAGACACTTTTCAAAATAGTAAAAGTTTTTAAAAAGATCTTAAGGGTTTATTACTGATGTATTTTATGTTGTAGAATAAAACATAAAGAAAAAAAAAATCTCCAATATCTACAAAAGCCCGTTTAAAAACCCCATTGACACCCATGAACACTAAAGTAAAGTGTGTGTTACTCACAGTGACACTGTTGCGTTGGGTAAAGAGCCGGGCTGCATGGTTTCCGTCAGGTCCGCATCATCGCACACAACCTTCACGCGCACGCTCTGCCTATTAAACTCCTTTGATCTCTCCGAGGTGCAGTGACAGCTGTCAATCATCAGGTCAGGACAGTATCTGCACCAGCAGCCCGCGAGCGCGAGCGCGAGCACGAGCACGAGCAGCGCCTTCATGGCGCACTGGAGGATGATGATCGAGAGCGCGCTGTCACGTTACTTCCAGCCAATCTGGGATACAATTATTGATCATCTCAGGCCAAACACTATTGGTCCCTAATGATCAGTGCGAAAACTAAATATTACCGGCGAGTTTAGATGTTTGCATTCTCAATGCACGCGCGTCGGTTCATCCTTATTATCCAAAACCAAAGTGAAGAAAAGTTTTGTCCCCGCGTTCAAGCGCGCACTTCTGCGCATTAGAGCCAGTTTGAGTGACTTCTGCGACGATGTGCTGATGTCGACAGGTTCTGTTAGTGGATGAAGAAACTTGTTGCGATGCGCGTCGCGTTCCTCCTCCCGGCGTCGCGTCTCACTGCGCTGAAGGCGTGATTATGAATATTCAACATGGAACCGTGACGTTTCCCAGATGGCCGATCTGATTGGACAGTGGAAGGGCGGAGCTACGTGCAAGCGCTGGCTTATGAATATTAATTAGGCTAACAGACTGGGCGCTCCAGTAGGCTAATAATTTTAAACAAAGTAGCCTAATCATGCCATTATTAATATTCATAAGCTATGCCTTCGCCATAGCAGGATTTGTAACTGTCCCTCAGGGTGAATAAACTTTCTCGTCATTTTATTGGCTCAAAAACCCACATGACCGCAATTCTCCTTTATTTAGTCTTAAAAGGCGTGGCGATGTGGAAAATCATAACACTGTATAATCATACAGATTAAAGACATTTGTTATATATATATATATATATATATATATATATATATATACTATACACACACACACACACACACACACATATAGCCTATATATATATATAGTCAACATTTGAAGTGGATCAAAAAAGTTTAAAGTTGTCCTATTAGACAAGAACCGGTTGTTCAAAATTCATGTATAACTTTGATGAACGATTTTGATCCACTCCAAATGTTGACTACTGTATATAAATAAAGACATCTATTTTTTTCTTCTTATGAAGTTATTGTGACGTACAAGGCACACATCTGCACACTTAATGTCAGAATTTCGCACTTTTGTCTCTCATAGAAATGTAATTTGACCTTTAAGATATTCTTTTCTTATATGATGGACCGTAAGTGCTCTGTATTTTGCTGTAAAGGACAATAAGAGTGTTTTCCCTGTAGAATTGTCTCTTTCTGTAACTAGGTTACTGTGTAAATGCCACGCTGAGATTGACGTCAATAGTTGCTCTGTCATCGGAGACAGAAAAGAGCAGCACATCTTATTCTGAATTTACAATGAAATGTTTTACCTCGTTTCCAGGTGCATTACTGATCTTCTTCATCCCCGTTGAGATGAGAGGCAGTGGAGATAAAGCACTCGAGCAGGACATCAACACGATCTTCTGGAACTAAAGATCCATCTTTTATTAAACTCTCATTACATCCAGAATTCACAAATTTTGTCAGTTTTCACAAAGTGAGTTTTTGAAGGAAAAACAAACACCATGAAATATTTCTTAATATGTGTCACATTGTGGAATTAAAATGGGTTGTGGACTTTAAATCTACTTTCAGAAAAGATTTTCGAGGTTTTCTTTCCGTCACGTCCAGATTAAGTCCAATCCTGGAACAGCATGACGGTAATTAAATAACGACAGATCTTTATTAAATTGATTCACTGTTCCTTTAAGGTTTTTGGATGTATATGAATTTTTGCTACCAAAAAATAGATCATTTTCAACATTCCCCAAACAACCAGTTTTTTTATTTACATTGTTTTCAAAACGTTTTGTCTTTGTTATGCGAACATTCCATTTGATCATTCTTCAAACATTATTGGAATGTTACTTTTGAATGTTCTCTGAACATTCTGAAACAAGTTGATACATTTAAAAAATGGCCAACTGACACATTTCAGGTAAAAAAACATTGGTAACACTTTAGAATAAGGTTCATTAGTTAACATTAGTTAAATACATTAGTTAGCATGGACTAATAATAAACTAATAAAGATCTTTGTTAATATTAATTTCAACATTTACTAATACTTTATTAAAATCTTGTTAACATTAGTTGATGCTCTGTGAGTTAACATGACCAGACAATTAACAGCTGCATTTTTATTAACTATTAAACTATTATTAGCCAATAGAGGGCGGTATGAAGGTGTTTTTGGTGCAAATCAACTGAACGCCTGTGACAGCGACATTTGTAGTTGTAGAGAATATCCACACATGTGTATCAGTAAATTCACAGAGAGAAATGTTTTAAGAATTGCAAACTTGTAGACTTTTTTTCTCTCTCCCACAAACACAATACAAGAGTTTCACCTTCTCAAATTCTTCATTGCAGGCGCACAAATCCTATTCTACAAATTACAAATTAAGAAACTCATACGCTCACATTTTTGCTACAGTTGCTGCAGTGAATATGGTGCAAAACGCATTCACACACCCGCATCAAAACATGTGAAGTCACGGAGAAATTTTGCTCATCTGCAAATCAGTATGTGAATCCATCCAATGAGAGTTGCACACTTGTAGAATATTCTCACAAATGTCTTGTATATTTTTCTAGCACACACACACGTACACAACTACAGCTGCGACGAATCTCAAACAGTTTTTTGTCTTTCAAGTGACAAGTTTCGCACGCTCTCCCTTTTGCACCATTGGTCTATGTGAAATGTGGAGCAAACGTGAGTTGTGCATCTGTAGAGGCAGTGGGCGGAGCCTACATGAATATTCATGAGTTTCCCAGGCATGCGCGTGTTGAACTGCTCATTTTAGTTCACGCTCCTCGTTTCTCAGCAGGTTTAATGGATTATTTCAAAAAAAGGTAAATGTAGTTTCTGCGCGAACTGAAACTACAATTGTTTATAGTTTCGTAGAGTTTTTATTAGTTTGCACGTTTTGTGCATTCTTCAATTCTTTATACTATCTAATAACGTATTATACAGGACTGTTAGACAGATCGTAAACTAATGACCACGGAGAATGCGAGCGCTGTGAGCTCAGTCGTTCTCAGCGCCGTCAAAATAAAAGTCGCAACAACATGCACGGCTTACGTCACATCAGAGTTCCTGCCGGAGGTGCGAACGCAACCAGGAAAACGTTCCTAAGGGAACCATTAGTTCTCGAGGAAACACCCTGGGGATCAGTTCCTAGAACTATCCGGTGCGAAAGCCCCTATTGTCGTAATTTCCACTGAAACAGGAAGAGTGGGCGGGACATATGGATAAGCTCCACCCCTTTTTAAAATAGCCAATAGCGTTTGGTTTATGTCACAGCTCAGCCAGAGCTGTTGAGCTCGATAAAGCCGCAGTTTCCTCCAAATCGCTTTAAAATATCAGAATTCAAATGTGTCCGATACGTTTTTTCTGGTCTGCGGGACTCGATCACATGATCCGCTCTGTGTGTCGTGTCTCTGGACTTCATTCGCTCCAACGGACAGCATATCTACACAGTCTGATTCGTTCCCTTTCCCCTATATAGTGCACGATGTGCCATTCACCATGTAGAAAGTAGTAAATGTGTGAACAAGTGACCGATTTCAACCGCAGCTTCGTCGTCTATTTATAGATTCTAGAGAGCATTTGATTGGACAGAAAATCAGAGGAGGAGCTGAAGTCATGTCATCAAAACCAATGATTCATATTGGCGGAAGTGAGAAATCATGTTTTTGAACGTTTATATCTTCTAAAAGTGAATTTTTGTCATTGTTTTGGAGCCATAATGTCAGTGTCACGAACTGCTCTGAGAGACATGGTTGAGGATCCAAATGCAGTTTCTTTGAGTAATCCAGAATCGTAATCAAGCACAGGCAGGCAGTCCAAACAAACAAACTTAGGGCTTTATAGGTAATAATACTTTGTAATTGATACGGAACTTAACAGGTAACCAGTGTAGAGATGATAAAATTGGTGTTATATTGATCATATTTTCTTGACCTAGTAAGAACTCAGCTTGTTTATTGAGGATGCAGGAGAACCAGCTAATAAAGCATTACAGTAATGCTCAGCGATGCAGTGTAACAACATACAAGACTTCGCAGGGAATGACAGGCTTACGCCCGTTTCACACATACTCCGTGTGCAGTGCGTATGCGGTGCTTTCACATATGCTGCGTGCGTTTGCAGTGCGCAACTGTACCACAAACACATTTACTCACTATTTGTATTTCAAAAAATCATCAATCAAATCAAGTCATCAGCAACTTTTATTTAAAAAAAGTTTTTGCCTCCAGTGCGATTCTCTTTGTAAGCTACACATATACACTCTTTAATAGACGTATTCACGTTTAAACACAATTTAAACAACGTATTATTCAATGCATTACTTTTATATAGATTATATATTAAGTTGCTCAAGCAAGTGGTACCAATATTTAACCATATACTTATATTAAAATCGCAAACATTTTAAATTAAAACTTAAAATTGACAAAAACAGCAGACTCATACATTTTCTTTTGCATAATTTAAATATTTATACAATAAATCTTGCATGTCACAAATAACTTGTTTTTCCACCTCAACAAATGAGACGTGTCATTCATTATGTGGAAGTAGGCTAAATTGTAGCTGTCCTTGCTTTACCCCGGTCTTAAAGTAAATAGATGACTATGAAAAATAGTAGTATTTAATTTAATGCATTTATGGTCACATTTTATTTAATTAAATACATTTATGGTGAGATTACTACATATTCAGGTCAGTCTGTGTTCATTTGGACCACGAACCGTGCGCTGTCACTTTCATTCATCTCTGCACTGCTGTATACGCACCGCAACTGGAACGGGTCGCCGGACTGCATCCGCGTGCAGTGTGAAAGCTAACCTGTTAACATGGGTACGGAAAAAAATACGCACTGCAAACGGAGTATGTGTGAAACGGGCGTTATACAGGGTGAGCAAACAAGAAGATGAGACACAGGTGAAAACAATGAGTGCTAATGAGTCCAGGCAGAGAATTATGGGAGATGTAGTTTGTGAGCCCTCTGGTGGCTCTCAAGGGCACTGCAGCTGGCAGGTTATATGTGGTTATATGTGATCTCTTATAGAGCCGAGAGCGAGACAAACCCTCGAGTCACGCTCTCATTATTTACTCTGAGGAGAGACTCTTCCTGACCGACTGACCAACCCGAAGTCTCTCGTATTTCACCGCATGACAGGCAAACATGAGGCGGCTCTTCCCCCTCCAGCA